TGACTCTTCAATTCTACGCCGTGATGAAGCAGGGGGTATATGCACAGTAGGACACTCTCTTCTATTATTATCTACTCTTGCCACAATGTATGATAAAATACCAAGTTCAAGTTCAAGTACATGTAGCTTCATTGGTGTGAATGGTGATACCTCTGTATTAAGGAGACGTAGTATAGCACCAGTTTAGTGCCATACCACTTGTCCTTAATACAAAGGTATCCTCATTTTAGAGGTACTTTTAGTACGGGCTTGTACCAATTGGGACATTACTGTGCCAGGTGTCCTTATCTTAGGATGTACAAGGTCACATGATTGTAGTATGTCATTCATAGTACATTTGCTTTAAAGTCTGCCCTATTGCATAATGCTAGTAGTATATTATAGTGTTGTATATTTTCAATGAATTAGGTCACTGTGTATATAATGGCTTTGTAAACAAGGCCACCATTATTAGATGCATAAAGTACATGTGTACATTTTTAAAAGTATACATTCCAACACTTGACTAGTCAGTATTATAATAAACAAGAGTTAATGGACTTATATACACAACTGATTTTCAAGCTAGCTTCTACCATCTCCCCCCCCCCCTCTCTCTCTCCCTCCCTCTCTTTCTTTCCCTCTCTCTCTCTCTTTCTTTCCCACTCTCCCCCTCTTTCTCCCTCTCTCTTTTCAGCTTCATACATTTATATTCTTCTTATCATGTGTCCATTATCTTTTCCATTACTCAACTTCCTTTTCATTTTCATTGTCTTACCCTCCATTTTATCCTAATCATTTGCTAACATTTCTCACCCTCTCCCTCCCTCCCTCTCTCTCTCACAATGTCAAACACCATGTTCTTGTCATCTGTTCACTAATGGAGCTAACCTCCCACAAAGATAAAGATTAAAATCAAGAGGTTATTTATACCGCGAAATATATAAAAACAAAACAGAAAAATCCACCAAGTATTTAAAAACCAAACCAACAACAACAAACCCATTACAATTATTAGCCCGAACACATACATGTACACGTACATGTAAACAAAAAATTTCGTGTAGGAAAAGTACATGTTTGCAGCACAGCAGTATGAAATACAACAGATTGTCTTATATTATTAATACTAAAAACATAAACAAAACTAGCCATACTTAGACTTAGAGGCACCAACGGTAAAAGAGGCACATACACGCTCTTTAAAAGATTTAGGGCAATTAGTCATTAGTCTCAATGTCCAGCTACCATTTCAGGGAAAGCGGGCCGCGTCAACCCGTACACTTACATGAGAGGCAAGAGAGGAGGAGAAGGAGTCCGGAGAGCCTCGTAGAGAGAGTGTTGGAGAGAAGAAGCTTCAAATATTTCATCTCCATCGCTCGAGCTCTGATCTCACTGGTCCATACATTCAAGGTTACTTATTAATTAAAGGGCGTGGCTTTAACCTAGTTAATTAATTAAAAGGCGTGGCTTTAAACTAGTTGATTAATAATTAGTTAATAACTCAATGCATTGTAAGCGAGACTAAGTGGGAGATGATTGATGAAATGTAGCAGCAAAAAAATTAGAAATCATTGTTATTTGTGTCTCTGTAGTGGTTGTCCGGCCCATTCTCCTGTCAAATGAACACCTGCAAATAAGAAAAAGAGGAATTATGTTTTTTACTGAAAATCATGAACTACATATGTAATAAATTTTTTTGGGCAGCATCATCCAAAATTTAACAATAGGCTTAAATAATTTTAAATACTTAAATTTTTTATGCATGCTCAGAATAGCAAATTTCATTTTAGCAACTCAGGATCAAATTGCTAATTATCAAAAACCTGCTAATTTTTTGCTATAGCAGAAATTATATGTCTGGTTGCGTGATTTCTTGTCCCAAACTAACTTTTGAAACTTAACTAAAAAATTGATAGTGGACACAAAATCCACAAAAACTAAGTCACTTTTAAAGGCATTATTGTTATTACTGTATGTGACACTAAGATACAAAATGAGAGATTGTTAAAGTGCATTATAATTATTAAATCTACCAAGAGCTCTTTCCATTTTCTTCAATACTCCAGCATTGGGTATTGCTTTGCCTTGTTCGTAGTCGCTGATGACTTGTGACTTCTCATTTATCCTCTACACAAAAGAAAGTATGAAATGACTGAAATAGAAAGATTTTTAAATGCAAAAATCGTTTGTGACCCAAAATTTTTTAAAAATTTCTTTGATTAGGTATTCATCAAAATTAAACCAATGAATATTGATTACATATGAATCAACGTCGCAGAAAAGTAGAAAATTACAAAAATTAAAGCCACAAAATTAATTCTTGGGCAGATTACAATGTACATGCATGTGCAATTGCAAAGTTGAAGCACAGCTTCATAAAATATTGAAAAAATAAAATCAAGGGGTAAGCATGTAGGTAAGCATGTATACACATGTACATGTACACGTGTATACATGTACATGTATGTGTATGTGTAATAATATAATAATGATTATTTACAGCTGCTAAATCCTTTTGGCTTAATTTTGCCTTTGATCGTGACTGCTGAATCAGTCTACCCATATCCAAACCGACCTGAACATCTAAAAAAATAAAATATTTAGTAGTTACTTTTTATAATTATTTAAAAATGCACATACATGTACATCATACATGTAATTAAAATTGGCAAATTTTTAAAATGGTCATAACTCAAAAATTTTAAGTCGGAATCAGCTCAAACTTTCTACGTAGCATAAGTACATCAATACGCATCAAAAAAAGTAATAAAAATTGGGGGCAATTTTTGAGCCATTTTTCAGAAAAAACCATGGGCTATAGTACAGGAATTTTTTCCAGGAATTGGCCTATTTTAAATAATGGTAATAACTTGAAAAGTTTAAGTCGAAATCAGCTCAAACTTTCTACATAGCATAAGTACATCAATAATCAATATGCATCAAAAAATGTAATAAAAATTGGGGGCAATTTTTGAGCCATTTTTTGGAAAAAAACCATGGGCTATAGTACAGGGATTTTTTCAGAAATTGGCCTATTTTTTTAAAATGGTAATAACTTGAAAAGTTTAAGTCGGAATCAGCTCAAACTTTCTACATAGCATAAGTACATCAATACACATCAAAAAATGTAATAAAAATTGGGGGTGATTTTTGAGCCATTTTTCGGAAAAAACCATGGGCTATAGTACAGGGATTTTTTCAGAAATTGGCCTATTTTTTAAAAATGGTAATAACTTGAAAAGTTTAAGTCGGAATCAGCTCAAACTTTCTACGTAGCATAAGGACATCAGTATGCATCAAAAAATGCAATAAAAATTGGGGGCAATTTTTGAGCCATTTTTCGAAAAAAACCATGGGCTATAGTACAGGGATTTTTTCAGAAATTGGCCTATTTTTTAAAAATGGTAATAGCTTGAAAAGTTTAAGTCGGAATCAGCTCAAACTTTCTACATAGCATAAGTACATCAATACGCATCAAAAAATGTAATAAAAATTGGGGGCAATTTTTGAGCCATTTTTCGGAAAAAACCATGGGCTATATAGTACAGGGATTTTTTCAGAAATTGGCCTATTTTTAAAAATGGTAATAACTTGAAAAGTTTAAGTCGGAATCAGCTCAAACTTGCTACACAGCATAAATACATCAATATGCATCAAAAAATGTAATAAAAATTGAAGGTGATTTTTGAGCCATTTTTCGGAAAAACCACGGGCTATAGCACAAGGATTTTTCAAAAATTGGTCTATTTTTTTAGAATGGTCATAACTCAAAAATTTTACGCCAAAATCAGCTCAAACTTTCTACACAGTACAGGCGCATAAATACAACTATGTCACCTTACAATATATTAACTCATTATTAATTTATTTATTATTAATTATGTACGTTTAAGTTCTTCAGTTTCACGTGCCAGTTCCCTCATATCAAGTGCATCACTTTTCTGCTTGTTTAACTGAGAGGAAGCTAAGAAAATGATAATAAATTATAATGCTAGATGCATAAAATAATAAATATCATAAATCAGGTAAATTTATAAAATACATGTACAGAATCAAAATTTATCTGTTGAAATTAAATAATTATATTAAAATGCTGCCTATTTTTATTCTTTTATTCTAATATTATATGAATGGGTGAAAAGAAAACATTCATCATTCTAAATTAAAATGCTTTATTGCTATCCTTCAAACTACTACATAAGTTATTATATTTATTGAATAAAACATATAAAATAAAAAAACATACGATTCTTTAAAACTGCAGTAGCACCACCAACTGCACCAATTGATTCCAATGGCTAACAATAAAGACAAAACATAAAATATATAAGGAGAGATATCAGTATACAGAGATTATTCATAACCTTCTGCAAGCTCCTGTGTTGTTTTTGCTTCAAAATCATCAAAACATAACTTTTTAATTATTATTTTAAAACCTAATATTTTTAATTAATTAAAATTCTTTAAGGTAGGAGTGGCGCGGGGTGTAGCTTAAACACAGCTGATCCCACTACTAAAAATGCTCGTTCTTTCTCTTACTGGCAACGGAGGCGGCTCCATAAAATGTGGACAGTATTCTTTAATGTATTCCAGAGCCTTCTCGGCAGCTTTGGCCTTGCTCTCCTTCTTGTTCCTCCCAAGGGCCGAGAATGCTATCGTTTCTCCCTCTAGATTTATGGTCACTTCACAACCGAACAACTGATAGGTCCCGTCCGACTCTCTGTACGAGGGGATGGCTAGTTTCCATGACTGGGTGATTTCTTGGAGTTTACTGATAGGATTCTTCTCCATGGCTCTTTTGCACGTGTTTTTTGTATATTTTCTAACTTTTTCCGTATTGTACACCCACGTCCTTTAACATTAAAACAGCAGGACCATGTTTTTCAGAGCGCTATCGTGTTTGCTGTGTCTCGTAATGATGCTGCCGTTAATAGGTAAGCAAATAAATGGAAATGATATTAAACATGATAGATAATATTCAGTAAAATAATATTTAATGATAATATCTAATTATAACAATAACAATAATAAAAATAATACTATAACAATAACAACAATGGATCTTTATCTTCTTTCTATATATTTTTCATACACACTTGTAGTCTAAAAGAAATTATTTTTTGGCAACTAATGCAAATCACTTGTAAACTCTAATCATGCATTTGCACTTGTTTAAATAAAGCAGAGTGAATGCTTTATATAAATAAACTCTGCTATTTATGTTAGTTTTGCTGTTTGGTCCACCTTCAGTTAGTCTCACGTAGCCAGATTCCTGCCCTTTTTGACAAAGTGGGGAGTAACCATCAATCTATATAGGCAAGACTAACCATCAACATATACTGTATAGCAAATTATAAAAAATTTTTAAGGCCCCTATACACCAGGCAATGCTATTGCAGGCAATCTGTGGTTACTTTGATCTTCAGGCAACACTGTTGCCTAGAATAGAAACATGTTCTATTCTAGGCAACACATTGCTTACAACATCAAAGTAACCACAGATTGCCTGCAATAGAATTGCCTGGTGTATAGTGGCCTTTAGACAAAGAAGTTATTATTGAGATTAAAAAATGTAAATTTTAATTTTACTAATAATGACATCTATGCATGATCCAAACCACAAAAATACTCTATAGTATCACTGATTGGTACATGTACATATCATTACAGTATGCTGTGTACTATTGTAATACTGGGAGACCTACTCTACCTTTTTTAATTTTAAAAATTTCATCTCATTTTAGTTACGATTAATATGGTTGAAGTAACTCCAGATGATCCCACTGTTACTTATGGTTCTGATGTTACTCTTACTTGTTCTCATGATGATACTATCAATGCTGCTAATCTTACAATTGAATGGACCACTACTGCTAGCAATATGGACCTCAGTAGTGTAGTTATGACTAGTGATATCAGTAGTGAGTTAACATTGTCTAATGTTGATTTATCTCACAATGGAACTTATACTTGTGATGTTGTTGATGATGATAATGGTACTATTGAAGGAACCGATTCTATTGTATTGACTGTTAATCGTAAGTTGATTAATTATACATGTACATGTACATTCCTTTTGAGAATATCCTAAATCCTCTCTCATTCTTCCCTCTCTCCTTATAGCTCCTGCTCCTAGTGATATTTCAATATCTCCTTCCAGTCCTTCAGTGGTATACAATAATGATATTACCTTCACTTGTACAGTTACATCACTAGCTACTCCTAATATAACATGGAATACTACTGCTCCTGATGATATACTTGATCAACCTGCTGTGATGTCTCAAGGCAGTGATGTGTATACTAGTAGTTTAGTATTGACTGGAGTTACATTAGACAGTATTGGATCATATACATGTACTGCTACTAATGAAGGAGGGAGTATTGATACTACTGCTATGCTTAATGTTACTGGTAAGTAAAATATTTTTTAAATTCCTCTACCAATAATAATAGTTATTGTACGCTAATGTATGATGATATTAATAATATTTAGTTTGAATCTATTGTCTAATGCCATAACCTATAACCTTTAACCCCAAACTCCTTTCTTTACTATAATATATTCAATCTACTTTTTTTCTAGTTCCCCTACCAGTTATACTTGATCTTAATGATCTCAATGTTACAATTGGTCTTCATATTAAGCTCAACTGTATAGCATCAGGTTTTGGTCTTACGTATAAATGGGACCTTCGTCTTTGTGGTTATGATTGTACAATTGGTGGATTTGATACTCCAATATTATCCCTGGGGCCTGTTATTTTTGGATCAGCTGGGGAATATGTTTGTAATGTCACTGATTTTATAGGACAGACAGTGTCAAAGATCATTAATATTACACCATTGGGTGAGTACATGTATTGGAATGCAATACATGTTCATTGTACAATGAGTACATGTACTGTGAGTTAATTTCATTGCAACTAAACAATATAAATTAAAAATACATGTACATGTAGCATGTTAATTTATGCAGCATAAAAATAGTTGATATTTTCCATAATGTGCATCCTTTTTAATTTTATAATTTTCATCCCCCCTCTCTTTCAGGTCCTACTTTAATATCTTCTAATGCATCAAACTGTCGAGTAACTGGGAGTTCTAGTTGTACAGAGAACTGTGATGCCACTCCAATACAAGTGATTAATGGAACCAATGAGTTCCTACAGTGTTCATTCCAGAACAGACCTGATGCTCCATATAACCTCACCGTTGACTGGTTTATAAGTGAACAAAGGTTTGGGGCTCCTCTTGCTGATAATGCTAGTACCTTTGTAACTACCACTCCTGAGGATGAAAACAGGATTGTTACGTCAACAATATTTTTTAATCCTGTGAACTATTTAAACTTTATCTCACCCAGAGCAGCCAGGTATGAGCATGCTTATACCTGTACGGCTTTTATCGGGAACTTCTTTAATGATCAAGTAATGAGTGATGGGACTTGTCTTGAAGGATTATGTAAGTATTTGAGAAGAAAGAGGGAGAGAGAGAGAATGAGAGAGATTGGAGGAAAAGATAGAAAAATAAAGGGGAGAAGGCATTATATGTATAATATTTATAGATGTATATTCTGTTGTATTAATTCTTTTCTAGTTGGGCCTGTTCTTATAACAGAGCCTGAAAAGAACTTTACAGCAAATATTGGAGACAAGTTCATATTTAAATGTGATCCTGATTATTCTAACCCAAGACCTCAGTTACAAATTAACAAGATACTAACGAATGGAACTGAACTCAATCTGTATAATGGTCAATCTATGTTGTATTCTATTGTAAATGTTACCTTTGATGATGCTGGTAGTTACAGATGTGTATTGACTAATGCTTATGGAAGGACTGAGAGCAACTTTCAACTGATAGTACAAAGTACGTGTGTGTGTGCACAAATGTAGTATATTTGGATATTCAGTATTTAACCAGAGTTTAATGTATGTTTATACTGTATAGATGGAAATACATGCATTTGCTAAAGTTTTAATTTTGCAGTTTGGTACTTATAATAGAATTCAACAAAGCATTAATAGTTAATGGGTGTATCAACAACTCGTGTCTAAACAAGCAAAATTCATTCCTCATGCATTTAATTTTATCTGTGAGCATAAAATGAAATTTATGCCTAGCTGTAACTCCTCATTTCTTATTGGAAAATATGAAAGGAGGGTTGCACAAGAAAATGAACATTGCTTATTTTTAGTGTAAACTATTCAAATAGACTCTTTATAGTTGCATTCTTACATTGTACTTGATTTGGGATAGTTAGAGCTTGCTGATATTTTCCTCTCTCTCTCTCTCTTCCCCTCTCTCCCTCTCTCTCTCCAGGTGTTCCTGATCAAGTTACTAGTGTGACTGTTACTTATTTGTCTTTTTTTTGAAATTCTTTTCAGATGGAATGTCCCTAGTTCTAATTTTGGTCGTGATCAGCGCTATAATGTTGAATACAGATTAGATCTTGCTGAAGCTAGTTCTTTTAATATAACAGGACTTACTGATCCCAGTTACCTTCTAACTGATTTTGATTTAAATCGTAATTATACTGTTGTTGTATCCAGTATTAATGAAGTTGGTAGGGGACCTTCCTCAGATGTTATTACTTTTCCTAGTATCAGTTCAGGTGGGTCTTAATTTGTACCTCTCTCTCTATTCCCTTTTTTCTTTGTTTTTTTCTTTTTTTTTGTTTTTTCATATGCACATGCATGCATGTACACATACAAGAAAAATTTATTGTCCTTTAAAAAATATTTTTATTTATTTTTATTTATGTAGGTATGGCTAGTTTGCTTCGTGTCCGTACTCCATCAATATTCATCACTTCTACTCAGATACAAATATTGTGGGAACTCCCTCCTCTCCTTAGACCAACTGGGTGGAGACCAGCTGAGATAGGCCGATATGTACTGAATTACAGGTCGACTGATATTGGAAGAGATACCCGTCTACCTGTCAGTAATAACTCATTGAAACATACAATAGAGTCTTTGGTCCCTAATACTGAGTACAATATCAATATTAATGTGGAATATAGTGAGCCTCAAGGTTTTAAAGGGAATACTGTTAGTATTACTGCAAAGACTAAACCTGCAGGTAAGATGTATTGTGTAATGTGTATTGGATTTTTTATAAATTTTTAAATAATTACTATAACATAGAAGTTTTGCATGTAACGTTTAATTTTGTGATTCAAATGTAAAAAATGCAAAATTTAAACTCCCAAATATTAACTTGAATTCTAAATCCAACATGTTTTTAATAATAATTCCCTCATTCCTTACGTATAGATAATCTTCCTGAAGTTTCAACTAACCTCAACTCATCAAACATCAACGACACGACTAACCCATCCATCCAAGTAAAATGGGAGCCTCTTTCCCCTGAAGATGGTCTCGAATTTTTACAACGTTACATTGTACGTGTCAACGTCACTGACCTTGCCGCCATTAGAGGCTTGAGAAGATACCGTCAATTGAATCCAGTCATGACTACTCTAGAGTATAATGTTAGTAATGCTGAGAGCCAGTTTGATTTTACTGACATTAAACCGTTCATGTCTTACTCCATTGGAGTTAATGCTGCTCTCCTGGTTGATGGGCTGGAGAGAGAAGTCCCCATTACTAGACCAACTAGCGTGGACTCACCTGAATCCAGTTAGCGTTACATGTACATGTGTTATTACTGACATTTTTGTACATGTACCTGTATTTTTGTTGTTTTTAGTTTTTTTAGACTTATTTATGTATTTTCGTATGTACATGTACATGCATTAAGCAGTCAAACAATTTTTCCCACAAATGTCATGTCAACTAGGAATTTCTTCTCAATTATGTTTTCATGCATGTACATGTATTGGTTAATGTCGTAAAAGTTTGTGCCCCTTTTGTCACATTATTCTGCATTTAGAATACTGGCATAAAAGTTCAGTCCTAAACCATAGTAGCAGTAGCACATGGTTTTTACGAATTTGAAAATATGGAGAACTAAAACTTAAATTGTGAAAACTCTCTCTCTCCAGCCCCTACTGCTCCCACTAATTTCCGGTTCATGGAGATCAGCGTCACGTACGTCCAGTTGGCATGGGACCCTCCAGAGCCACAAAATGGCATCATAAACTTGTATCAGGTAAAGTACATAATATACTACTAGCCTAACCCTACTAGCTTTGTATTGCCTTTAATTACTGTTTACATGTGGGTGATTTATGTGTATATGTAGAGACTTAGTAAAGACTTTTGTGTACATGTATATTAATCTACCTCTCACTTCTCTCTTTCTTCTCTCTCTCCCCTCCCTCCCTCTCTCTCTCCCTTTCTCCCTCCCTCTCTCCCTCCCTCTCTCTCTCTCTTTCTCTCACTCTCTCTGTAGATTGATTGGGAAGGAGGTGGTGTGGGAGGTTCTATAAGAGCTATACCACCTTACATAAGATCTGTTCGAGTATCAAGATTGACTGGAGGTGTGAGGTACACTTTTAAGATAAAAGCCCAGACATCAGCTGGCTTTGGAAATGAAGCAGAAATCACTAATTCGACTTCTCTGATAACGATAAGTAATAAATGATACGTGTATTTGTGATTTTGATATCTTTTTTGCTATATAACAATGCTACATGTACATAATGTACAATGAAGATTTTCTTTCAAAAAATTACAAATTTAATGCTACATGTATTATATATAGAATATATTTAATGTGCTGTATAAAAATCTGTGAATGCTACATGTACAATCTACTATAGTCCACCAAGAATGATTATGAACTTTTCTCAATTATGTTCTCATTTATGTACATGTTTGGATCTCAATATCATAATGTACATGAATACTTTTATTTTAGATAGTTTTTAAATCTTCTATTTATTAATACTATAACAGTACTGTTACTCATTATAATTTTTATATTGTATTTTTATGATAGGTACTAGAGTGCCATCAACAACAAGTAAGGCAGTTTGTCATTTATATTGTATTTTTATAGTAGATACTATAGCGCCATCAGCAACAACGGTTTCTAATTCAACTGAGGCTACTGCTGTGCCAACTATAATAATGAATAATGGAGGAAATATTGCTGGATGGATAGTTGTTGTGATAGTATTAATATTATTATTGGCTGTATCTATAATTATTATATTAATACTGGTCATGTACATAAAAAGAAATAATCTTAATCAAAAGAGGTACGTGTATATAAATGCACACATTTATTGTTTAAAATTTGTGGTTCATAGAAAATCAGATAATGACATTGTAATGGAGTGCAGTCCAGCTTATGCTACAACTGAATTTAAAACAAAGTTAGTGACACTACTGACTATTACATTATGTTTATACACGTACACACACATACAGTACTGCTGATGATATACTAATGAAGGATAGTCCAGCATACAGTACAGCACAACAAACACAGTCAGTTATATAAAATACAATTATTATTATTATTTAAAAATAGATCAACTGTTGAGCCAGTGTATGATACAGCTAATTATGAATATGATACTCCCCTTCCACCACCTTCTACTGAATATGAAATACCAACTGTGACTGATTTATAACTTTGCTAGTGTACAAATTATCTATATAGTACACGTTTTATATAATCTTGGCTATAAGTGTACCATATTGTTGATTAGATTTTATTTGCAATATTTTTTTGCGAGACTAATTTTTAAATTTTCAGTGAAGTGAGCAAACTGTCAAAACTGAAGATAAGCAGTAGCACCTGTTTCTAGCATATTATTAGACTTTTTTGTATTAGATCTGTGCCCCTATGCACTGCAACATAGACCTATTGTATTGTAGTTATCAGTGTGTGTCATTATTTTCCAATTGTTTAATAATGTACTCATCTTTTATGTACATACATTACTATATGCAATACAATTCACATAATGTATTTGGTTACTGGTGGATAGTACAATCATGAGATGTGTTTGTGTTACAATTAGAAATGTTTACCAATTTTAGTTAAAATACCACATCTACATTAGGTTGTAATTAAACTTTTAAATAGCAACAATTAGCAACGTTTATGGACATTCAAATAAGCCAATGATAATGAATTATTTCCAACAATTAGCCTCTTCACAATCTCGACAGTTACAATTTCTAACTACACCATATACACCAATGCACTAAGCAATTCTGAATTATGGACATTTAAAAATCTGAACATGAAAGCACTTCCGAATATTATATATATTACATTTTTGATTATAATGCTTAGTGATGCATGCATTTATGCATAATTTTATTTTGTTTCAAAATTTTTGAGCAAAGCTCTATACATTCTGAACTATACACAGACCTATGTCATCAACAACTCATAGCTCACATGATTCTGTTAGTTTTGGGGAAGAGTTATTTTTTCAATAAAAACTAACTATATATAGATTGACAAATAAGAGCAGTGCATCATTCTAGGATGACACCCTCAAGTAGTTCTATTTTACACATAAAGCTACTATTACTACTTCAACTGAGGTCTGTACATCTATCTGGAAAAGAACCACCTTCTATTCTTCTACCAAGTAATGGTAAGAGAATAAGTATTGCTGATTGCTGAATCTATACTCATATTTAGGTGTTCAACTGTACCTGCCTTATGAGGACAGGATAATACCTGATTACTCCATGATATATGCTAGCCAGTTTTATGATGAAGATCTGAATGATGATCCTTTTGATATTATTGATGCTTTGTGGTGTCAGAGTGCTAACAATAGTGCTACTATTGGAGTGTGGTATTATCCTAATGGAACTGAAGTACCTTTATTTGATGGAAACTTCACTGATCCATCAGCTCCTAGTCCAATGTACAGTAAGAGATTCAGTGGTCAGATTGCACTAGCTAGAAGAGAAGGACTATCAGGATATGAAGGTTTATACAAGTGTATCATTCCTGATGAGAATGGAGTGAATCAAACACTAGTGGTTGGAGCATATACTGATACTGGATACAATAACAATGGTATGTGATGAATATAGACTATAATTAATGTACTTCTTTTACAGATGGTCCTGATGCTGATCCTACTATGCAGTTCTCTCTCCTCTCCACTAGTAGATTAGCTACTCCTCCAGTCTTCAGTCTCAGTTTCAATGTCTCTGATGGTCCTCCTACTACTGTCAGTTGTTCAGTGAATGGGAATGGAATATCTACTGAACTGTCTCGTGTGATAGTGAATGGATCAGGATCTGTTACAGAAGTGACAGTAACAAACTTAAATGAAGCTGGCAACTATCAGTGTACTGTATCTAATGTCAGAACTGGTACTATTAAAGGTGTTACTGCAGTTCCAAGCACTTCATCATTAAATATATCAGGTTTGAAATCAATTATTGTTATTGATATGAGTAATTATTCAGTATCTGATACTCCAACTGGTTTAACTGCTACAAGATTAAGTACTGGTTTAGCTCATGTAAGACTCTCCTGGTCTACTGTATCAGGAGCTACTGGTTATGAGGTCTTCAGTAAATTTCCTGGAATTAATCCTGTTAGTGCAGGCACTACTGCTTCAACAACAATCAATATAACATCAGGATTGTTTCAAGGGATTACATATACTTTCTATGTAGTATCTTATGAATCAGCTTCTCTACCTAGTGGTAATGCTTCAGTTATGTTAACAATTAGTAAGATATCAAATCATTAAATTGTCAGTAATTGTTTGCTTTAGGTGATCCAGTGGTTAGTGATTTCATGACTACATTGATTACAAGTGCTGCCATTACATTAACATGGAGTCCACCAACTGCTGTAGTACCAATTAGTTATAATATTGTTAGGGATTGTAGGAGAGTATGTGAATCATCAACAACTGGTAGTAGTGAAACATCAGTTTCATCACCACATACTTCAACTGGTATACCTCCTTACAGTCAATGTGCCTTTGATCTTATTGGAGTATATGGAACTGAGATAGCTTTTTTTAAAACTAATTATTTAGCTACTACACTTTCAACTGGTAAGTGAACAATTATTAATTTTTTTATTATTATTTCTCAATAGCCCCTACTGCACCAGTGGGTGATATTATATTCTCATCAGTAGAGTCAGTCTCAATGACTGTCTCATGGGATGAGGTACCTTGCAATGGAAGGAATGGACCAATCACTGGATACTACCTCACATACACTAACATCACTTCAAACACTAGTTATACTGTTAATATCACTGGAGGAGACAACAGAATGTATAATCTCACAGGATTAATACCATATACTAACTATACTGTGAGTATAATACCTTATAATTATAATATGAATGGACCAGCTAGACAAGAAATACAATTAACTGCTGAATCAAGTAAGTCAATGAGATATTGATCAGTTTAACATGATCTTAACACAGTTCCTGGTGCGATATCTGATCTAAGAGATTCAAGGCCACCAATTGAAATTTTTATTGTATGGAATCATCCTACAGTACCTAATGGTATCATTACAGTATATGAGATAAAATATAGAGAGTCTACCAGTACTGGTCCATACCATATAACTAACACTACTAACACTTATTACAGTATATTAGGATTGATACCTAATACTAGTTATACTATTGGAGTGAGAGCATATACTAGTATTGGACCAGGAGAATGGACTAATAGAGAATATACTACTATTGAAATACGTAAGAAATTACTGAGAATACTAGGACGATAATGTTTTAAAAATTTTTAGCTGTCAATCAAAACTTTTCTATAACAAAGCTCAATTCTACAGCAGTGATGGCTGTGTGGGGTTTTGTTTCTGGAGCTAGTCATTATACTGTCTATTATGAGTCAACCAGTAGCTCCTCAAGAAAGAAGAGACAAGTAGAGACAGGAATGAGAGTATTCCCAGGTGATACTACTGGAGGTCTAATAGGAGGTTTAGATCCTAATCTGAACTACTTGTTCTCTATATCTACATCATTTAATGTTAAATGTATTAATTATGAAGGAAAGAGGACTCAACCAATATCACTAAGTATATAAAAGTGAAATAACTTAAATCTATGGTTTGGTTATACTATAGATCTCACTTTAGCTCCTACTGCAGTATCAAGGGCACCAACTGCGATTCAAACATCAGGTAAGTCACTGGACACTGGTCATATATCAATCACACAACGGTCATGTTACAGGTACTTCACCAGTCACTGTTACAGGAACATCAACAAGTAAGATAGCACAAACCCATTATTATCAGTTTACTGACTTGCATTAGCAGTGTTGACTTCATCATCAGTGTCTTTATCATCTGCTCATGGTAAGCAATTTTATAATGAAAATTTATATTTAATTCTACTAATAGTTTGTGCTACTGTGACAACTACTGTTACTGTATTAGAAAATAATGGAGGGAATGTTGCTAGATGGATAGTTGGTGTGGCAGTATTAGCATCACTATTGGGTGTATCTGTAATAATTATATTGATGCAGGCTATGTACATAAAAAGAACTAATATTAATCAGAAGAGGTATATAAATGGATGTTTTCATTACTTAAAATTTGTGGTTCATAGAAAATCAGATAATGACATTGTAATGGAATGCAGTCCAGCTTATGCTACAACTAAATTTAAAACAAAGTTAGTCACACTACTGACTATTAGATTATGTCTATATTATACATGCATACACATGCAGTACTACTGATGATGCATCAGTGAAGGATGGTCCAACATATGATACAGTACAACAAAGTGAACAAACACAGTCAGTTATATAAAATACAATTATTATTATTATTTGAAGTTATTATTAATAGATCAACTGTTGAGCCAGTGTATGATACAACTAATGATGAATATGAGACTTCTCTTCCACCACCTTCTGCTGAATATGAAATACCAACTGTTTAATAATGTACTCTTCTTTTTATGTTCTCATAATGTATTTGATGTGCATACAACATAACATTACCAGTGGATAGTATTATACAAGAAGTGTTTATGTTACAATAATAGAAATGCTTAATAATGTTAGTTAAAATACCACATCTAGAAATGGGCTTAATGCAAACATCTACATTGAGTTGTGCTGAACTATAAAAAATCATTGATCCAAATATCCCAAACAACCTCTTCTTCTTTGAAGCATAGACACTCTCTCCTACTATCATTGACTGATTATTAATAAACTTAAAAGTGAAACAAAATGTCCAAACTGAAGTGATAATAATGATACTCAATATAATAGATGCAAATGAAGAATGAAAAATGGATGCAATAGGACTGGTTATACCCACATAGCAGCCTCCTATGTTATCTATATACTGATAAGTTAAACCAGATCCATCGATGAATCCTGAAGAGAGAAGGACAGCAGTGACTATCCACACAATAATGACTATCCACACAATAATGACAAGGACCAGAGCTACCCTTGGACTCATGAACCGCTTGTGGAGATGAGGCTTTACAATAAAAAGGAACCGATCAATTGATATGAGACTCAATGTCATGTGTTATATAAACACTACAGTAGGTTATATAAGCAGTGAAACCACAGGATCCTTCCTTCTCCTCATCAGTACTACCAAAGATCCACTCACCAGCAGCTAATGCAACAATGAAGAAAGGAAGAGAGAGTGTCAATACAAGGTGTGCCAGTATGAGAG